CCCCAACCCAGGTATTTGTAAAACCCCACTTGAAGTTCACAAAGAACACATCAAGGTTGTTGTTGAAACAACATTTATTGTAGCTCAGTGTCAAAATATTTTTTACAAAAATACGCCACTGTTTGTACCAAACAGCTATAAAAATCAGTTCTACATGCAAGGAAGGTGTGCAAATAACTTACACAGAAGGACTCAGCTCACACAATAGTATTAAGAAGGAAGCATAGTACGTGGTTGGGCTAGCCTCACACTTCTATTTATAATTTTCAACTCCTCTAAGAGTTTTTTCATTCTACATTGTCTTTGCATTGGAGAAAAGCTAGCCGTGCTAGAACGTGTGCTGCAAGAAGCATTACCTTTCGAGGAGGCTGGTTGGCACTCTGAGGGAAAATAATGCTATCTGTCCAAGGATTCCCAAGTTTAGAGGAATGGTTGGAGTCCTCCCTTTAGAAGACTTACATGCCACACAGTAGGAATGGGAACAAAAAGGGCCATGATCTCATCTAAGCCACTCCAGACTTTGTGGTGGGGGATAGAATTCCGAGGAAGTCTAAGGATCAAAAGCCCAAAAAAGGCAAAACATCCTTCAATTGGCAGTCTCAGGTGTAAACTGGATTTTGAAAGCTTTCCACAACCATTCTTCACTCCTGGTTTCAACACTTTCAGGGTCCTAGGCAACCAAGTACTTCCAAGATGGTCACCTTGCTGCCTGAGATGGGAGGACAAGTAAGCTCCTAGAAGTTAATTCTCTGTAATCAAAAAGATTATATGGCAGGTAGCCAAGAGATCAGGCTTAAAATGAGGGTGAAGTTCCCAGGATCTTACAGCTGGTAGCTATTTGGAAGGAAAGGAAGGACTGATAAATTGAGCCACAGTTAGTTTGGGAATAAAAATACACTTGGGAATCATAGCCTTGGGAAGTTGGCCTGCCTCAGAACACAGGCTCTGCAAATTAAGTGGAAGAATTAAGGGGAAAATAAGCATTACTTTATATTACAGCAAATTGTGTTGAGGGTATGGGTAGGGTGACCTATTCAAAACATAAAAGCATCTAGGAGGTTGTAGCTGAAGATCTACTAAGTATCCTTATTAAGAAAGGGTGACAAATATCAGGAAGTGTCTTGTCGCAAGAAATAAGCTGGAAGTTACTAGTTTCTTTCCCTTTCCTTTAAAATGCACGTTTAGTTTAGAAAATAAAACATAGGCTGTGGAAAGTTTACCAACATGTTTCTGATAATTTTTGTTAAAGACAATGGAATTCAGGGGGGCAGCTAGAAGGCGTAGTGGATAGAGCACCGGCCCTCAAGTCAGGAGAACCTGAGTTCAAATCTGGCCTCAGATCAAACACTTGACGCTTACTAGCTGTGTGACCTTGGGCAAGTCACTTAACCCCAACTGCCTAAAAAAAAAAAAAAAAAGACAGTGGAATTCAAAGGTGAGCAAACATGCATTCTGAGCATCTGCAGTATCTCAAGACAGACAGTCTCTCTGGGCAACAAGCTGGAGTTGGGGAATTTGTTCCCTGCTGCAGATCCTCCAAAAGAGAAATCAACAGCAGAAGATGGGATACACGGCAATGATGTGGTGCATTAAAAAAATACATCACACATAAAAAAGGTCATCTGCACAAAGCAAAGACGTCATCTCCCTAAAGCCTGGCAGAAAAATATAAATTCTGGTGCACATTTTATAATAAACATAGTTATACTGAAACCACTAAAAATTATATGTTATTGAACAAAATCTACCTTGAAATGAATGATTTATATCATTGCAAATCGTCATTTCCTCTTTCCTTGACAAATTAAATACAAAGGTCTCCCATGTTAAAAACAAACAAATACATTTAACACACAGAGAACTCACAAACTCTCTGTGTGAAATACCCCTAAATCTACAGAGTTGAGAATTGTAATGAGGACATAGTAATCACTGGGTTACTTCATGAGCACAAGCAAAAAAACAAAACAAAACAACAAAACCATCCTTGTTTTAGGATGGTCTTACTCAGTAAACTAAATCTATTGAAAAGATCAGCTTTACATGTCAAGCCACCTCAATAGAAAACAAATCCCCATCAGGCAAATGGAATCATATTAACAACCAATGCAAGGAAGCCTGGTGGAGGCTTCCTATGTTGGGTGAAAGATTATTACCTTGTGTTTCTTGGGTCTCTGCTCAGTTCTTCCTGTCATGTAAATAGGGTACAGGGATGTTCCTATGGAATGCCATATCTAATTAAAGCCAGAATGGTGCTGTGAAACTATCCTATAAAAAATTAAGTCTGGACTCAGTATAGCTCATTTTAAAACCTCCTTCCATGCTAAAGTATATCTCACTGTGCAGATCTCCCAAAGATAAGATGCCAACATCCTCAAGGGTTGGCATTCATCCATGCGGCAGCCCAGCTAATAGAGAAGGAGCAACGGACCAAGGAGTCCCAGCTCATCCTCTTGCTAGAGAGGAGGGCTCTGGCCAAATCATTTCATTTCTGAACTGCAGTTTTCCCATCTGCAAAATGAAGACAAGAACTCTTGTAGTACCTTCCTCATAGAGCTGTTTTGAAGAAATGACCTTGTAAACTTATTTGCCACTAACAACTTGCATTTACTTTGTTTTAAGGCTCACAAAGTCCTTTCTTCACAAAGCCCTCGTGCGAGGTAGGTATTATTTATTATTGCTTACACCTTTCGATTTGACCACACTGTGCTAGATTTGTTAATAGGCTCATGGTGTCTAGGACATGGCCACATTTTCTCTGATATTCAGTCTGTGTTGAGTACAGGGTTCTATTAAATTCAGTTTCCTGCAGGTGTCAGGGTGGGGAAGAGGCCTGGAACTGAGGCAGAGGTGTGTACCGTTCCCTCCTTTACTCCCCATTTTGATAGAAAGCTTCTAGCTGTTAGGAAAGAAGGTCTCCAATGCTTTTTTTTTTTTTTTTGGCCAAAACTGCATCAAAGGATGCATTTGTAAAAATGAAAAAAACGTTTTTTAATACTGTAAACTCACAGACTCACAGAATCTCAGAGCAGGATGGGACGTTGGAAGTCATTTAGTTTAATGTTTATCTGAAGCATTAATTTCCTGTGACATCTCTGATGAGGAGCCATTGGCCTCTGAGTGAATCCCTATAGAGACAGGGGTTCATTACCTCAGGAGGCTGTCCATTCTACTGATAGCGCCAATTGTTAGGAAGTTCTTTCTCAAAGGGAGCTGAAATCCACCTCTGTACTCCTGGAGAATATGGATTGTGTCCAATTTATTTTTTGTGTGGTGCTCAGGTCAGCAGGCATGGAGTACTTAACACATTTTTGATTAAGCTGAAGTTGTGACACTTTGAATTCTTGCACTCATGCTTCTCCTTCCCTGATGTCTGACACCTAGTACAGGATTTAAAAAATGCCCTTTAGTTCCTACTTTCCCCTCACCAACAACCTACCATTCCCTTGCCTGCTCCTTTCCTATCAGAACATTGCCTGGTTTCTTCTCTTTTTTCGCTTTTACAATTCAACCCCTGGCTCCTGCTTTTCCCACTCTTGTATGCTTTTTTCTAGGCTGACCAAATGATTCTTAACCAAAATTTGGCAAATATCTCAGACACAATTCTGAGATTTGTTGGTGGGTTTAAACGTATATCTAACTTCCCAATCACTTTAGAGTCTGCCATATAAGTTTGCCAATACTACCATTCTTGAGGTGGGTCGGTTTTAAAGACGGCATGGGATGGTGAAATGAGCACTGGATGTAGAATTAGAAGACCTGGGTTCAAATCTCAGCTCTATCACTAAATACCTAGGTGACCTTGGGCAGGCCACTTCTTTTCTCTGGGTCTGTTCCCTCTTCTGTAAAATGAGCAAGGTGAGCTTAATGATCAATAAGGTCTCTCTTTGATCTCAATTCTATGATTTTATGAGGTATACAATTGCTGATAGGAGCAATGCATCAGAGTATTTTTGCTGTTTGCAAATTAATAGGGAACTTGGGAATTTCATCTATTTCATAGATGTGACAGTAAAGACTATACAGATGGGGAAAGAAGTAAAGGAAAGGCTATACCTTCAACCTAAAAATACACATCCAATTTGTGAAACACACTGCAACAGACCATCTTCAGGGAACCTGAGAAAGCTAAAGGCAACATTGAATTGTAAGAGTCTAGGTAAGAATATTTCAAATGGTAGATGGAAATACACATGCACCATTTTACAACACAATGGTGCTTGGCCTGTGTATTAGGAGAAAAGGTAAAGAGATTACCCTTTTGCTACACACCTCATTACCATACCTTTCTAGTTATCTTTACATATACTAGACTACAACTAGCATTTTACCTCCAAAGGACAAATTGTCCAGTAACACAAATGCCAAATCCAAACTATTTCTGTTTTTCTTTTTTGCCAAAACTATACAAGATGGTGTTTGCATTTGCAAAAATGTAAATGTAATGGCAAATGGCAAAAGTACCTAGTTGCTGTCAAAAAGCAAGATCTCATAAAAAGTAAAAAAACACACATACATACACCAAAAAGTCCAAAAATTAACTCATGAAGTCCTGAGATTCCTCATTCTTCACTGTATACCCACCTATAATTGCCTTTCAAAAATCCCCTTGCGTATGTATACCAGTCCCAGCACTGAGAAACATTCAATGTGAACTCTGGGTTTGGTATGAGGACATACGGTATTTTTCTCCACCCTTTCCCAACTTTTTCTAATGATCCCTCTCAACGTCAATGCCTTCTCTCTGTTATCTCCAACTTATCCTGTATGTATATTGTTTGTACATAGTTGCTTGCATGTTGTCTCTCTCATTAGACTGTGAGCTCCTTGAGAGCAGGGTCTGTCTTTTTTTTTTTTTTTTGTAGCCCCAACACTTAGCATAGTGCCTGGTACCTAGTGGGCACTTAAATATTTATTGATTGGAGAAGTTATGGACTTTTATCAAATCTGCCTTAGAAATGATTAGTCAGGGTTGACAAAAAATTCATGTTGGACAAATAGAGGAGAAGATTGATTTAATGATCAGTAAACTTCCAAGGGCAAGGGAACTGGTAATATATCTGAATCAGCCCATAGATATTTGGGATTTGCTTGGTAAGGCCACAGGAACACATAATCCTTCCAGGATTCAGCTTATCAATTGAACTATGCTGTTTTATGAAGGTACTTGGGATGGAGCAAGCATAAGAAATACCCTGAAGACAAACAGGAATAAGTCTTTTCCTGGACATGGGTTATTATGGACCCTCTTTACTTCTTTCAGCCTCAGTTTCTTCATCAGTAGTTCTCCAGTTTCTATAGCTGAGCTGCAGAAGTGGATTTCTGTCCTGCTGTTCTCTCCACAGTGAGTGGCATGAAAAAAAAAAGCATTTTGAACCTAGTATTTTAGATTTCCCATTCAAGAGGCAACTCCAAAGACTATCCTACTCCTCTGATTAAGTAAGCTCAAAATAAGAAAAACTTTGTGGTCGATATTTTCTCCTTTAAGTCACTTTTACAGTGATTAAAAATAGACATGAAAATTTACAATGTGCAGCAGAGAACGTGCTGTGTATGTGTGTGTGCTGAAAAAAAGCATTTTATGATGTCAGAGGTAGAAAATGGTGTGGTGAATTTCACGTTGCAGGATATGGCCTTTTATACAATATAGGCTTAAGAAATGTTCAGATCTGTTAAATGGGTTTTTCCATTGCTTTAAGACAATGACAGTTAATAACAACAACAAAGAACCACAAACCCAACTAGAAAACCAAAACATTGACTTTTTCATCTGGATATGCTGTTTCTTCCCAAATTTCCATCTTGTAAACAGGTCAAGGTTGTTCTATTATCAATTCAACTTTGATGCTTTCCCAATCTTTGGAAATCAAATAGGGGTTTCAGAGCACATAAGGCAAATTCAATGTGACTTCTGAAATATAGCACTGATGCTGCTATAGCCTTGCTGGCTAATCATTTTTTAAAAAAGTTTATTTACAGTCTGACTGTTTTTCCACACTAGTTCTATTAAGAAAGTCCATGATCCTAAATAGCCAGTCAGCAATTTCATCTTTCTCCTCCAGGGTCCTGTCTGTCATTTACTCAACTCAGGAATTTCAAAACAACATAAAAATGTACACTATTTACAATGGAAGTGTCCATATTGGGTATTACAAAGCATCTCATGAGAACTGGACATTCTCAAGGGCTGTCCCATGTGAGGGCTCAGAACTTGAACAAGTTGATAAAGTCCTGGGGCGACAGAGAGACAGAGCAGCTCTCTGGATTATTGGCTGTACATGGATGATCGGTTCCCTGCAAAAAGAACATAGAAGTTGAGCTTGGGTTCCCAGAGGTATCTCTTCTGTTCTTAGCACTGCAAAGCACTGGCTAATATAGGAACAATAACCCTTTCTAGAGAATGCCATGGGAGAGTGCCACATGGGCCTGGAAAAGCAAGGAACTACAATGGAAACAGCAAGCCCAGTTAATAGTGTGTCAGCCTTAGAACCAGGAAGACCTAGTCTTATCTTGGATAAATCCAAGGTCTGTAGTCATAGGCAATTCACTTAAACTTTCAGTGCCTGAGACAAGTCTCTTACTCTAAACTAGAGTCTTAGATGCTTGGGGCTATCTAGACACCAACCCTTGTTTTTTCAGGCCCATGTGACAGAGGAATTGCACAACTGCATTGGTGGAGAGAATTTCCATACCTGGGAACTTCCTATGTTGATGAAACCACAGATTTAGACCAAAAAAAAAAGAAAGAAAAAAAATAAGGAAGAAAGGAAGGAAAAAAGAAGGAAGAGAGAAAGGAAGAAAGAAAAGAGAGAAAAAAAGAAGGAAGGAGGGAAGAGAAAGAAAGGAATAGAGAAAAAGAGAAAGAAAAAAGAAAAGTATATGTGTATATTAGGAAGCATAAATCTCACTCACACTGGGAAAGAAGGTCTCCTTCATTAGCACAAAGTAGGGAAGGAGCTCTATGGTGCATTCCTAGGGACTCAGGATTTTTTCCTCATAGGGACCAAATGCAGCCAGTCCCAGATTAGTGTGAATAAGAAATCCCCTGAAGGGGCTACATTATTTGAATTCAATTGTTTATTTCCACTGGGTTCAATGATCAAATTTCACATAATCATAACTTAAAATAGTACGAATTCAAATATATGCGACTGCTTCAGGGAATACTTTATTTGTGCTAATAAAGCACCCACCTATGATTTCATTCCCTCACCATTACATTTCAGGTCATTGCAGAAGTAAAAAAGTCTTAGTTTTATGTTAAGCATGTGAATAAAAATATTATTTGCACAATCTCTATGAGAGGACAGAGTCTTCCTAGGCCTCTGTTAGGGTCATTTCTTCAACTCACCTTCCAAGAAAGGATATGGCAATGTTTGCAGAGCTGCAGTGTGTCTCCATATTGCTCTTTCCTTGGGTAACATCGGATAAGCTTAAAATACATCTTCTTCCAATCCAGTTGTCCTTTATCAGATAAAATTAATCGCTTGCGAATCTAAAATTAAAGTAGTGACAGTGGAGTAAGTAGGAGCCTGGGATTATGATTTGAGAGATTCTGAAAATGCTTTCTCCAAACTCTCTTTGTCACCCAATCCGCCCACAGAAGACAGTTCAAAACCAGAAAACTTCCTTCTTAAGGCTACAACTAGAGGACTATGTTGAGTTTTAGTTGACTTAGCGTAAGGAAGGTATTGAAAAACAAACTCCATACTGTTCAGGGAAGGCAAGTGGGATGGGATGGGGGACCAGAAATCATGCTATGTAAGAATAATAATAATATTTGGCATTCCTCTAGTGCTTTGAAGTTTGAAAATGGCTTTACATACTTTACTGATTTAATCCTTACAACAGCTCCATGAAGTTAGTGCTACAGGTCTTATTACTGCCTTTTTACAGATGAGGAAACTGAGGTTTGGAGAGGTGGCTTGCCCAAGGTCACACATACTTTAAGTATCAGAGGTAGGCCCTGAACCTAATTGGTGATGGTCAACTTCAAGAAAAGTAGCAGTGGTGCTGGTAGTGGTGGGTGGATGGAGATGAGAGCTATATTTGGAGGGGTGTCATTTGAAAGGTAGAGAAAATTTGTTTTGTTTGGTTCTAGAAAGCAGAACTAAGAACAATGAGTAGGAGGACTAGAGAGGCAAATTTCAATTCAGTGACAGGAACAAGTTCTTTAATACATAGAGTCTTCTGTATGTGGAACAGGCAGCCTTTGCTGGTAGTGAGCTCTCCATCACTTGAGCTATTCAAGTGGAGGTGTTCCTATGGAAGCTTGGTGACCACTCTTCAAGATGTTGTAGGGGGAACCCTCTGTTCAAGTACAGGTTGGACTAGTTAGCCTTGAAAATCTCTTCCAAGTCTGAGATTCTATGATTTTATGATTCTATGATTTGAGAGTCAGAACGGGGTGGGGCACCAACTTTGGGTATTATGCATGTGTACTTGGATAATAAACTTATGGAATTCTGGAGGGGAGAGATATTAAGAACGGAGAGGTGGAAGTAGGGACATGAAGATGAAGGAAAAGAAAACCTGCTGTTCAGTTACCTGTCTCTCTGTGAAATGATATTGGCAGAGTTTCTTCCATAGCAACCGGTCTTCACTGAGCAGGTGCAGATCTGGGGCCACCTGGCCCAAGCTGACAAGGTCCCTTCCATCCGTCAGCCTTTGCATGATGTTCAGTTGTAAACACAAAGGCAGGTCTGTGAAGGTGAGGCCTTTGAAAGCAGGCTGGAACCAAGGAAGATTCAGTTACATGGAGAAGGAAGGGAAAACCAACCAACCAAGAGGTAAAGGCATCACCAACCACCAACCACCCTCCACTCTCAAGCTGGTTTATTCTACAGAGAGGGAATCAAAAATTCTCTTCATTCTAAACACTTAAATTGGCCCCAGCTGTGGAGGCCAAGTGAGAATAGTGCAGACCACCTTGAATTGATTAGTGTCTGTGACGTTTCTTCAATTTCACAAAACTTGCCTTTTGGGTTCTTGAGATGTGTTGCATATTTCAGAAAGCACACACTGGGGATAAGGACAGGGTGTCTCAGAACAGCTTAAAAGGGCTACCTTAGTTTGGTGTATTCCATACGATTTTTAGAGTTCCTCCATCCATAATGGTGTCTAGTGCCTAAGAGTGGACAGATCTGGAAAAATCTGTCACAATCTATATGGTATTGTGGTTAGCCCTTTGGACTTGGGAATAAGGTGACCTGGGTGCAACCCCCTGCCCCCCATTCACAAATTGTGTGACCATGGGCAAGTGCTGAGATAGAGTTTTTTTCTCATCTGCAAAACAGAAATAAGATGTGTGCTACCTTATCTTACAAGACTTTTCAAAAGCAATATGTGAATACATAGGAGGCAGTATGGTGTGCTGGATAAAGAACAGGCCTCAGAATCAGGACTACATGGGTTTAAATACACCCCCCTCCTGCCTCCCATACACATGGTTGCTGTAGGAACCTGAGTAAATCACTTCATTAACTTCTCAGTACTGTGGGATATTTTCCAAGAGTATGAGGTCAGCAGTGGGGAGGAGGGCTGGGAAGGGGAGAGGAGCACCAGGGATCTCCCCCATATCAATGAAATTACAAGTCTGGATAAAAATAAATGAATGAATGAATGAATGAATGAATGAATGAATGAATGAATGAATTTCCAGCTAGATTTCTCCCTGTTTCCCTATAGAAATAGGCCAGTTAAGTGGCACAATGGATAGAGTGATAGCCTGGGAATCAGGAAGACCAGAGTTCAAATCCTATCTCAAGACACCTGTTGGCTGTGTGACCCTAGGCAAGTCATTTCACCTAATTTCAGTTTCTTTATCTCTGAAATGGGGATAGTAATAGCATCGATCTCCCAGTACAACAGTACTTTACAACAGTAAAGGATCAAATGGGATAACAAGTTGCAAATCTGAATAAATGCTAGCTTGATGATGATGATGATGGTGGTGGTGGTGGTGGTGATGATATGATGATATGACTTGCCAAAGGTCACATAGTAATTAACTAGAAGAACTTGAATCAGGTTCTGAGACTTCATACCAGAGCTCCTTCCATGGCACCTCACTGTTTCCTAACTCAACTCAAATGCTTTTTCCATTACATTGAGACCATGTTATCTCTAAGCTTTGGGTCTCCTTGCCCAGCCTGGTGCCCTGCACACTGAAGGCATTAACCAGTGTTGGTATATTGACTGACTGGCTGATCTGTTTCTCCTTGGTCTGTGGAGGAGAACTTTTAGTTGTTTACCACAGTGAGGGCTTTGCAGGCCTGCAGAAGGCCCTAAGCCCATTTGTCATTTTTTATCTACTATGGATCGAATGAGCTCATAAAACTGCCTGGGGATTTTTTTTTTTCAACTTCCAAGTGAGCTTCAAAGTATCTACTTTTTTTGGATAAAACCCACTGGCCAATTATGACATTCGCTTCTGTTAGGAGGGGAGCACAGCAGGCAGGCAGTGAGGACTCTCAGCTTTTCAAACCTGACCTTTTAACCAGATTTTTGTCTCAACCCCCAGAAGAGCCCTGCCTCCTTATTAACGGTTAACAGTTCACATGCTCATCGACTTTTGCTGAATATAAACATGAACCAAGGAAACAAGAGCCGTTCTTTTTCTTTTCCAAGCTAGCACCTGGCTAGAAGCCATGCTGGCCCACTCTTGACCCCCCCCCCCCCCAATGTAATTCTGCCTTTGGCAGTATGTGGAAGTATGGGGCAGAACCTTGCCTTGCTGCACACATCCCAGGTGCCTCAGATTTGTTCTTCCAGAAAACAAGAGCAACAATCCCTCTTGATTGTCCTAGCCTTCTCATTAGCTTTTCTAAATGTTGCATATCTCAGCTTATAAAAATTGTCTCCATGGGATTCGATTTGAAAGTTTATCTGTACTATAAATGACTCTCTCTCTCTCTCTCTCTCTCCTTCTGTGTGTGTGTGTGTGTGTGTGTGTGTGTGTGTGTGTGTGTGTGTGTTGGGAAAGAGCTGAGTTCAAAAAGGGATGGGAACCCAAGGATGCTAACAGAACACTGGCCAAGCATTCTTACTTTGTATGGGCACCCATGTGATAAACCTACCTTTCCCAGTCTGCGTATAATCCTCTCTCCTTAACATCCTCTGGAGCTTGGGGGCTGTGGGGATGCAAACTGGGTGGAGCTGTGATGTTACTCTCAAAGCAATTTACTTTAGAGCCACGGAGGGGTAAAGTGAAGTACACAAGAGATTATGGTGAGGGGGAAGCATGCTGGGGTAGGCATTAGGAGCTGTGGGTTCAGGTCCTAAAACAGAGACACCAGGGATATAGTGGAAAGCTGCTAGTATGATAAGACTTGAGGTAAAAAACTGATATGAATTTGAATCCCAGCTCTGACATATCAGTTGTATGATGCAGAGCAAGTCATTCGGTTCCTCCGAGTATTATTTTTCTCCTCTGTAAAATGGGTATGATTATTTTTCACTCCCTACCTCAGAGGATTTTTGGAAAGAAAGGGCTTCGAAAGCCTTCAGGTATTTAATAGAATTATGCTATTGTTAGGATCACAGATCCAGAGCTGAAAGGGATCTAGACTAGGTCATCTAGTCCAACTCTCTTGTTTTTATAGATGAGGAAACTGAGGCCCAGGGTGGTTTAAGGATTTGCCTAAGCTCACACAGGTTGTTTGTAGCAGAGCTGAGACTTGAAATGAGGCCCTTTTACTACAAAACCAAGTTCTCTTTCCATAGTTTATTAACCTTTCCTTGGTTATTATTGATAATGAATTAGGGCTATTGTTAATATTAATGATGATTGTAGACATTTAAAGCTAGAAAGGACCTCAAAGGTCACTTAGTAAGTAGAGGGTTGACCACTCTGAGCTTCAATTTTCTTTGCAGCAAAGGGGAAATGATGATACAAACAATCTCACAGGGTTGTTATAAGGCTCAAAAAAGATCACGTATTTACAAACTTTTGTAAACCTTACCAGGTCATATAAAGTCAACAGAGAATTCTAACTTCCCCAAGCATGCACCTAGGCTGTCTTTGAAAGCAACATCACAACTCCACCCAGCTTGCATCCCCATACCCCCCAAGCTCCAGAGGATGCTGAGGTGAGAGGGAAGTACTCCTTATCTCATTCTGAACTGGACTGGGAAAACTAGGCTTATTGCATGAGAAGGGAAGAATGGGAAAATCAAAAAGACAATTCACACCAAACTAATAAAAACCCCAAAGAACTTTCCCCTAAAATATCTATATCATTAAGCCAAATGCTTTTTTTAAAAAAAAAATACTTGAGAAGCCTCCATTTTCCACTTGACTTTGTAGTTGATAGAATTATTCTTTCACTCTTAAGGATTCAGAAATTAAGCCTCAGAGACATTGTGACAAGATAAGAGGAAGAACACACACATGGTATTTTGAATTCTCCACACAGCTACTTCAGTGATTAACTGTTATTTCTGTAACAATTATTTGTAGATGCACAGGAAGTCTCTTCACACCACTTCTGGTCAATATGAAACAGACAAGACTCTACTTTCTTTGGTCCAGTAAACCACTATAAGCAATCTTATTCCAATGATTAACATACTAAGAAGGAAGATGCCAATATAGATACTTTGTTTGTGTCCAGACTTGTGTTTTCATCTATGTAGGGAACTCTAGGGTCGAAATTCTTTACATATGAAAATCAGCAATATATATATATATAGTAATATATAGTCTTAGGGAGTGGTCTGGGGCATTGAGAGGTTAAGTGACTTATCTAAAGTCACACATTTAAAGGCAAGCAGGACTTGAACACAGGTCTTCCTGAGTCCAAGACTGATCTTCCACCTCATCGCATTGAATCCACCAATTTCTTTTTCATGTGTTTTTCTGACAGTACTTGCTAGCTATTAACCATATTGGCAGTGGGTGACAACTTAGGCTTGAGTTTTATTTATTTATTTTTAAAAAATCATTGACATAATTTAGTTTTTATATTGCATGTGCTGCTCAATAGATTTCTCCTTAATATATTTCTCAATAGATTTTCTCCTCCTCCCCCTACCAGACAGCCATGTTTTATGACAAATAAAAAGAGCAAAAGAAGTTTTTAGCAAAACTAACCAACACATCAACCAAATTTGATATCATATATAGTGTTCCACACCCACAGTTTTATCTTAAAATAGAAAAATGAGCCTACAGATGTGGACTGAGTTCCCCTGTACCTTCTCTGATCTACATTTGTGTCCAAACCCTGTACTGAAAGGTTCTTTTGTCTTTATGATGAATACATAGAACTGTAATTTGCAGGTCAGTACCAGCCCCAAATCCTACTTCAGGAAAAAGTCAATAGAATCCCAGCTCTATTGTATTGACAGTATCTTGAAGCTAGGAATAAGAAGTTCGTTAGAAAAGGGTCAGAGAAAAGAGAACTCCTCAAACACTTCTCAGGGATTTCAGTGATTACAAACTTGGGAGAAATTCCAATTTTCTCATCATGCTTTTCTTGCCCTTTCCCTCAGATCATCTACTCCCCCCTTTCCTGGCTCTCCCTCCCTAGCCTACTCTATCAGAGAATGTTTTGGCTGTTTTCTTTTTCTTGTTGAGGGCCGTGTTAACATATCAAGTCATAACAATAGAGATCCTGCCATAACTAGAGGCTTCTGAAGCCCTAGTGTGGCCCCTACCCTGAGCCCCAGCTGTGCTCAGGCACCTGAATGTAGGAACTACAATGGCTCTTTCCCCGCCTTAGCCTTCCTGCTCACCCTGGTGATTTGGATGTTGTTCAGCTGCTGCTGCCAATGTAGAATGGTCTCCATTCGGTACACCCACATGTTAATGTTCCCGACAAGAACAGACTTGCCTACCCTTTGGACCAGGGTACACAAGGATGTGTAGAGGGTCTGCAGCAACTCTCTTATCAATCTGATATTTTGTTGGTCTTCAAGGACTTGGGAGAAAAAAAAATAAAGAAACAATTATTGATTTAGTGTTTTCTCCCTCTTCTTCCTCTTTTCTATATTTTGTATGACCCTTGAGTTTTTATTTTTCCAGGAAGCTCTGCTTTCAATCAGTCAATTAATAACCAACAAGGATTTCTTAAGTGCATTATGTGCCAGATACTTTGTTAAGTGCTGGGGATATAAAAACCAAAGGGAAACAGATCCTGTCCTCAAGGAGTTTATGTTAAAGGCTGGAGAGGCCATTCACAAACTAAGGTTGTGATATATGCTGGCAATGAGAACAGATTGGACCATGGGGTTCAAAGGGGAAGGAAAAGGTTCCTTATTAAGGAATGGAGCATGATAAGGGCATTGGAAAATTCAATGAATCAGGTCCTGATAAGTTCCATATAATAGCAATGCTTTGAGCTTTTCAGTGTGGTGTTATTTTTTATCACCCACCTTTAAGAAATTAAGTGATCTTAATGCTTCATCGGTATCCTCCTTATGCCTTTAAAAATAGATACATGCATGCATGGATACATACATGTGTATATACAGATAACACACATAAATGTACATATGTACATGTATGTATACATGTGTATATATATATATTAAAATGGGTTTACCTTTCAGCACAACTTTTTCCAAAATGTTCATGAAGTTCTTTTGGGCAATGCCACTCAGGGAAGTGAGCTGTGATTTCGCTATCAGTTCCAACAGCTGTGGATAAAAATAGAAGTTGCCAGGCTTAGAATACAGAAGTTTTTTCCCCTCTCTAATCTGTGCTTTGAGTCATGTGACACAGTACAGACCCACAATGACGGCTAAAGAGATAAATGGCAGGCCAGGCCAGCCACAGTGAGAAGCAGATGCTCAAAATAAAAGATAAATGGGAGTAATTAAAAATCCATAGCACAGGAAGCAGGCTGAAGAATCAGATGCTTTTCTTTGAAAATATAAAGAATTTTGGCTTAAGTTGGGACCACCCCATCCCATTTGTCCTCCTTTTGTTGCACCCATGAAGTTCATGCCTTTTGAAAAGAAACAAGTTTGCTGGGATCTGCTGCTAATGCTTTACTTCTGCATAATCACCTCCCAAGTAGCTAAAGAAACAGACTTGAATTTTGCCTTTTTCTCTTTGTTCCAGCCCTAATGTTATGAAGAACTAGCAATGAACATTGAAAGGTTCAAAATATGAACAGAGGAAGATGATGGGAGAGAATCAAGCTTTCTGGGTAACCAGCTCCAAATTACCAAGTGGATTATAGTTTCATTATATAATTTAAACCTTTATCGAGTCTTTTTGAAGTAAACCAAAGTAGGGATACTTTTCCAAAGGAGTCTGAATATAATTACATTTGTGATTAGAAGAATAAAAGGTACTAATGAAAATTTTCCTTTCCCCAAGTCCAAGATAGCTAATGTTATAATGCTGTTACTGGGAATGGAGGAGGGAGGGCTATGAAAGAAATTTTTACATAATTTTGAGAACTAGAATGGACTTAGGATCATTTAGTTCAATCTCTATAATTTTTTTTTCTTACAGATAAGGGAAAGAAGGGCTTAAAGAATTTAAACAACTTGCTCAAGGTCATGCAACAAATTCCTGGCAAAAGTAGCACTCATACCAGGTCTCCTCTCATCTCCTTGTTTGCTGCTCTTTTAACCAGACCATGCTGCCTCCCTAATATCTGATTCACCTAAAGCAAGAGCTCATAACCTTTTTGATATCCTGGACCTCTTTGGCAATTTTGTGAAGCTTGTGGACCCCTTCTCAGAATAATGTCTTTAAATGCATAAAGCAAAACATATAGGATTACAAAGAAAACAATTAGATTGAAATTCAGTTATAAAAATATGTTATTAAAAAAAAAGTTCACGGGCTTGAGGTTAAGAACCTTTGGTCTAGTCTAGATTACCACTCAAGTTATGGGTTTTGCATGCAACAAAGAATGGCCAGCATGTATAAACATTGGGTTTGTACATGGTCGTGTGCTGTGAGCTCACAGCAAAGAAACTTATTTCTATTACTTGCCTATTTTGCTCAGCACTCTTCCCCAGGCATGTGACTGTCAACTGGGGAGCTGGAGTAGTTAAAAGTGACAGATCTTCTACTTATTGGCTGGGCCAACACCCCGGACCAGAAGGCTGATGTTCTATTAATATCCTGCACCTCATATGACCCTCAAAAAGTAAGATGAAAGAAAACAAAAACCTAGATCATTGCTCAGAAGGGCAGGCTGCCTTGTACTGTGACTCATCATTAAGGGGAAAAAAAACCCTAACACCAAGAAGGATTCTGACTGAGAAGCCCATCCCAAATTCAAGGTCCATTGTAACCATCAGCCACTTAACAGTAATAGGCTATTTTAAACCTGGTCTAAAAATGCTCCAAGTCACAAGGTGTAGGTGGGTGGAGTGTGGGGTGTGGGGACTGTGCAATCGAGGAAGGGGTTATGCCCTCAGGCCTTTGGTCTGAGAGGTTGCTTTGAAAGAAGGAAGAATAGAATGAAAAAGTATTTGGTGGTCAAAGCTGCTAACTGACAAATCAAAATATAACACACATACTTCTGAGGCAGGACCTTAGGATCTAGGGCCAGAAGGGGCTTTAGAGATCATCTGTCCAACCTCCTTATTTTACAGATGAGTACACTGAGGCCCAGATAGCTTAAGTGATTTACCCAGGATCACACAGGTAGTGCCAGTTCATTCACTCAGTCAGTCACTCACTCATTCAACATTTATTAAGCAGCTACTCTCTACATGTTGAAAAACCTGGGTCTTCTGACTCTAAATTCAGTGTTCTTTTCAGTCTATCAAGTTTCTTTTCTCCATGTTTTATGTGTCTTTGTATATCCTTTTATCTCTTATCCCATCTGATACATTGAATGTAGTAGTTGCTTAATAAATATTTTTTGAATAACTCAGTAATGGCTAGAAATTACAGGAGGAATATTTTTGTTCATTATAAGGCATGACCTAAGTTATCCAAGCTTCCCATAATGGAACGGGTCACTGGAGGTGTTCAGAGATTAGATGACTTGTCAGGAGTAAAGAAGAGGGGATTCATGCACAACTAGATGACCTTTAAGTTCCCTTTAAACTCTAGGGTGTTAGGATTCACCATCTCTGTATTTTAATCCTCATCATTCCTGTGCAAAGTAATTGTCCTTTCTGTACTTCAGCTATCTCCCAACCTACAAAATAGGAATATTAACACAGAGACTAAAATATGTGTAAATTTAAGCTCACAGACACACAGAATACTGATAAACTTGGATGATTAGAAGTGCAAATCACCTGATTTGTACCAGTAACACCAGAGTTACCAGTTGGCTTCCTGTCTCATTTCCAACACAGCTCTAATAGCCCCCTGTAACAATGTTTCTCCTATTTGTGCGACCAATTAATGCCCTTAGGTAGCCTCTCTTGCCTGTAGGTGGCGCTATTTACAGATCACCTTGATGACAATGATAATTATACCATTAAGTCTTAATGGCCTGGAAGAATTTTTCCCTTCAATAAAGTGTGCATACCTAGGAGTGTTTGCTGGCATATTTAAATTGGATGTCTAAGCTCTAGCACAATTTAGTGATCACTTTTATTATTTGCTTTGACCCTATGTCCTAGTATATATAGCCTATGCAGCCTTTTTCTGATCAGGCTTGAACAGAGGTTTTTTTCTGGTTTTGAAGAGGGCCATTGAGAAAATCTCCACCAAAGTCCTACCCCAGTGTCTCTTCATCATGGCACGGAGGTGACCCTGGGTTCTCAAGGGCAATGCCAGGGGAGCTCTAGTTCTGGCAAGGCCTAGCAGGCTGTAAGGCTGGTGATGAGTTATGTTACTGTCATCCGAGAAGCCCCGCATAGCAGAGTTCAGGACGGACTCATTACGGAAGGTTGGTTCTTGGGTGATTTTTTTTTTTTTGCATTGGGGGTTGAGGGGGAGAGTAGTGGTGCATAGCAACTCAGGAAGAATCTTAATTAAGCTGAGGATGGCTTAGTATCTTCATTGCTAGAGGTATTGCCCATGCTGGTGAAATCATGAAGTTTCTAAGGAATGAAGTAAGTGGAAGGAAACTAACAGGAATGTGATTTGGGTCTCATGTAGCTGATGTTTTCCTACCCCATCACTGTCAATCATATTACAGATTTAAAGGCTTCTGGAGAACCAGGAGCTACCTGGTACAGTAGAAAGGAGAGAGTGTTGACTTGAAGTCAAGAAGACTGGAGTTTAAATCCTGTCTCGGACACTTTCTAGCTATAACCCAATCAATCAAGTCATTTAACTTCTCCCTACTTTCCCTCATCTGTAAAATGGAGATAACAATATCATCTCCCTCACAGGGTTGTTGTGAGGACCAAAATGAGATAATAAATGTAAAGTACTTTGCAAACTGTTACATAAATATAGTTTTTACAATTAGAAAAAGAACTGGGTTTGTATCCTGGCTGTCTGCTGCTTATGATCTATGTGACCTCTGTGAAGTTATTGAACCTCTCTGTGCCCTAGTTTCCTCATCAGTAAAATAGGGTGTGGTGAAAACTGCATTTGAAGTATTGGAAATAGCAGGTAATCTCCAAGGTTCTTTTCCAGTGATAAATCCTGTGACCTGGGATCCATTAGTGTTCACTTGGCTTGATACTTGAGCTGGTTCAAACCCTTTCCTCATTTTACAGATGTGGAAACTATCTGCCGTGTATCTTGCCATGACACATCCTAAAGATATGACGACCCACAGTCCCATCAACATGGAATTTGATGGGATGAGATACAGGTCATGTCTTTTCCCTTTCATTAATCCAGGATCGATTTACATTCTGAAAATAAGAGGCTAATTATGTATCGACGCTTTTGGGAAAAACAAAGTCTGAAAGCTTATATTAACAGTATGCTGTGAATAGCAGCCATTGGGGTTATCAGATTCCATGGCATAACAGGGCAACAGTTGCAGGGGCTTGGGCTGACCACTGCATTGGTGTTACGTGCCTGTGCACACATGAGCTTCCCTTGAAATGTTTGTTGAATGAATTAAGGAAAGTAGGAAGGAAGGAAAGGATGAAATGGTGACTGTGGATACCATTTTAAAAATGGTGAATGAGAGAGAAAATAAGCCAAGGTTTCTGATTGCTTCTGATAGCATGCTTCAATTCTTCAAAAGCACTACAATTTCATCAGTGTTGGTACTTGGCCAACATAGGCAATAGGGTGTATGGAGTGAACAGAGTGCTACACTTGGAGTCAGGTACACCTGAGTTCCAATTCTGCCTCCCATAATAAAAAATATGTCCGTGGGCAAGTCAGTTGACCTCTCTGAGCCTCAGTTTCCTCTTCCATAAAAGGCTATTACTAATGCCTGTTGTGAGTCTCAAATGAGATCACTTATGTAAACTTCTTTGAAAACTTTAGAATAGGGGTAGCTAGGTGGCGCAGTGGATAGAGCACGGCCCTGGAGTCAGTAGGACCTGAGTTCAAATGCGGCCTCAGATACACAACACTCACTAGCTGTGTGACTCTGGGCAAGTCACTTAACTCCAACTGCCTCACAAAAACAAACAAACAAAACTTTAGAACATTAAATAAATTTCAGCTACTATTCCTATCCCCATCACTGGAGCAACAAAAACCAAAACAACCCCAGAAACCTTCACTTGATGGCTAACTCTCTAGAGATAAGCCTCTCTGAACTAAACCAGGCTGCTCTTTGATGTCACAGGGC